TAAGGGTACAAATGAATGTGGTCTATTGTACTTAAGCTGGAAATATTATCTTTGCTTTAGTATGCTTTTTCTGATTGTCATAAGTACTTTCAAGTCTATCAACATATCACCATTAATTTAAGATGTTTGGATATTTATTGCAACAGCTCTTTTCTGAGAGCTGCACTTTAAGAGCATCTTTTATTCAAAGACCTTAAAAGTCAAGTATTCTGACATACTAACTATGGTGCCAATAAATAATTCTAGAGGTTTAAACTTACAGGCTTTGTTCATTACAAAGTTGGGAACCTTAGCTCCCATTCCTTGGCCATTCAAGAGCTGCACACTTGACTACTTATTAGATCCTGTAGACATTTCATGCAATTACACTGTTTCATCCATTTATGAGAGGTGTGTGTGAACTGGTCACTGCACCACATGCAAATTGATTTTGAGGTTCTGTCAGTAGTTTGGAACTGCCCTAAAGAAGATGCTGACCAAGCAAGCTCATATTAATGAGTTCTCATAGTAAGGAATTACACGTACATGTTTTTCTACTAAGAGAAGACTCAGATACAGTCAAATATCTAACTTAATTTGAGAATATAATTGTGTTTTAATTATCATCAATTTCCCATTTATCATGATTGGAAAAATAGATTTGACTAGAAAATTAAAGTACACAGCAAAAATGTATGGATCAGCTATTTTTAAGTGAGGACTGCAATTTGTTTTGTTTTGTTTTGTTTTGTTTTGTTTTGTTTTGTTTTGTTTTGTGCTAATAGGTTGTGTAGGTACTTCAGTCATTAGAAAGGAATAGTCAGCCCTCTTTCAACTTCTCATAGCAGATCTATAGCTCTGATCTCATTTACTTATACTAATGATGTATATACAACGAATGTTAAAATTCCACTATTCAAAGCACTGTAAAACAGCTGTATAATGTATTTTCCCAATTTCATCAACAGAATTGACCCAAAGCACAGTTGCACCAGTACTGACGGTAAGAAGACTGCATGAGTGTAAAATACAATTTTGCAAATTTCTACCAGAAAAAAATCCACTCGATTTCATGATCTCAAGTTAGGATTTCAATAAATTATTTCAAAGGACATAAAAATAACTCAGAGCAAAATTCAGTCACTTCTTAAAGAGGGGGTGCGCTGTAAAGGATGCTTCTTCCTCTTACAGTAGGATCACTGATCAGTGGAGGATTGGCTCTCTACTGCACCTCCAGTATGAACCCATTGTGATGACGCTTTGGTTGCCCAGAGCATAAAGACATTCTAATTTCTGCTTCTTTTAAAGGAACATCTTTAATATCCAACAGTGAGGCTGTTGCTAATTTTGAGGCTAAGGCAGGTAGGTCTAAGGAAACAGGATTTGTAAACAAAGGTACTCCTGGAAGTTACAGGATAGGTTTCAGTAATACTGTCACATAGGCTGTGCAATAAATTGAATCCATGTTTGCTTGTTTATTTGCTTCTCTTTCTAACTTTTGCCACACATTGTCCAATTTCAATTTGATTAGAAAGCAGACCTGGAGGTAGTTTAATATTCATCTCTTGCCTTTGTTTCCATTAGAGAAGTATGTTGCTTTTTGTGTAGCTGCTGATTTACAACCACTAAGCAAGAAGGTGTTGTACTTCTAATAGTTCTCAAATGAAAAACAAGGCCTAAAAACATACAAAATTACTCTTCTACAATGGGTTGTATTTCTACATCTTCTAATTTAATGTTTGAGCAAGGTTGCAATCAGAAAATGGAATTACTATCTTGAACTAAGAAAGATAAAATCAATATTTGTAACAGTTATTGCTAGCCATGTAACGCTCATAGATTTAAATATAGAAAATATCTAATATAAATATAGAAATGTATTCCTCAGTGTCAGAGTCAAGAGACTTCCCAAGCAGGAAAACAGTGGGTGACTGACAGTAAAACCACAGATACCTGATATTTTGTAGTTGTTGATGCGATTCAACAAATCATTTACTTCGGAACAAAAATAAATAAATACTAACAAACATAAAAAGCTCCATCTAATGGTTCTGTGCTTAGTTCCTTTATGCAGCATTATGAGCTCACCATGAACACAATGAACCTATCCAGTGTGGCTCATGGTATGCGGCATTTTTCAGACTTTTTATATAGCTTTATGAAATAGCAAAAGCAAACATATTTTTCACGTCAGGGAAAAGAGAATTGTTCTGAAACATCTGTAAATTCAAACATGCTTTGCTAAACAAGGACTTCCTCTATCTTTAAATACATAAGCTTAAAAAGCTGCTATTGCATCCTGCATTACATAAAAATGCAAATACAGTGTGCTGAGTACAGTAGGTAAAATCCTGGCACAACTTCCACTGACTTCATCAGTTTTGATGTTGAGGATTTTGTTAGTGGCTGCAATCAGATGATTCGCATTATTGCTCTCAATAGCAATAACACAGAGTGCAGGAGATAACCAGATTTGGCGTAGATGCAAGCTATATTTATTATTGGTATGTCTCTGCTTTTAGCACTTTGCTGTAATGGCTTGATCATTAGGTCATAATGAGCTGAATAAAAAAAGAAATCCCTGTAAATAGCCTTGCGTGCAGCTTTCAATAAAATTTAAGTGAGAGACCCATACTCTTGAGGGTTGTCACCAGTAGAAAAAAAACATTGTAAACAATTATTAAATTCACAGATTAAAGAAAGATTAAACTCTGTTTCTCTCTCCAGGACTGTTTTTCTGCAAATAAAACTATTTCCTCTCAGTATAAAAATTCTAGGAGAGGTGCCTACAGAGGCTCTACGTTAGCCTCCATCAGCAGCCAGACAGCACAGCTTGCCTTAGCTTCCTTTGGGAGCTCCCTGCTGCTTCTGTTCAGTGTGAAGCAGTCAATTAGAAGCAGGTGAAAAGGTAAATTTTCCAACAGTCAGCTATCACAAGACTGCCAAACTAGGAGGTAGGTCTTCAGAGAAGAAAATCCTCCTAGAGTCTGAGAACATCGTCCTTTTATCATGCTCAGGTCTATAACCGGGCAAGCTCTCTTAGGACTCAGCCTGTGGTACCACAGCTTTTAATACCACTGCGTTGCCACATCAACTTATATATTGTTCTTAATCACAAAAGATTCATGCTTTCAACTGCTGTCCAGACTATGCAGTGAGATATCTTCCCCATTATGTATTCTAGTGAAATAATCAAATAAAAAGAAAAGAAGAGTTGAAAGAATAAAATAATATGGAGAAAAACATTTGGACATTTGGTAAGAGAAGTCAGTCAATGATTATGTAATGGAGCTTTTCAGCAAAACAAATTAGCAACTACTGGATGTAAATACAATACAGACTATCAGTGGTATAAGTTTGTTAGAGTTAAAAAGTAATTCTACAAGAAAAACAAGAGAAGAAAGTTTCATTTAAAATAAAAATACCTTATCCACTATCAATAGACATCTGAGCTGCAAATTACTAATCATGGTCAAAAACCTTCTGACAGGTAGAGTATTCTTTTAGAAGAATAGATAATCATCTCTGTTCTTTTATCTCAGTTATGCAGTGGTGCCCCAGAGCCATCTTAAAAGTTTACTGAATACTACTGAACTTTCCAATTGCATGATCACTTTGAAATCCATCGCATGTTACCTTTGATATTTCTTTCTGTAGTGTTTGTACAAAGCAATGAAGCAAGGGGTGAATGTTTTGTTTTCTTTTTCAGTATTTCATACAGTATTGTTCAGCTAAGGAGTGCACAGAGCAGTCAGCTTCAGATTACACCCTTAATGATAATAAAGACAATAAAATATAAGGCAGAAAAGATTCTTTAACTCATTTAAATTAACAGACATGATGCAGTTTCAAGTAAAGCTACTGAAGTAAGCAGGCAAATTCAAACTGAAATTTAACAACCATAATCATCCTATTAATTTTCTCTTGATAAGGTGGAAGTAGGATACTTACACTAGATGGACTGATTTTATCATTATTGATTAAGAAAAAAAATAAAATGTTTCATTGGCGTTGGGTAGTATTATGTGTACAAAACAATACAGGTTTTGTTTATCAGATATGGTCTGGTGACTAGTTCATAAATATTTGTTTCTTTGTTCCTACACAAGTTAGTAAAGTGATTTCTATTATCTAGTATTTCTTATATAGTACAAATATTTATGAAAAAAAGAATACTGAGAAGTAATAAAACAGTAAAATGCACAAGTTAAATGAGACAATGAACAATTTCTTGAATGATTCTTTGAAATGTGAGTTAAAAACAGTGTAAAATTCTGTTTTTAAATTGGATGATGAATTAGGTTAATTAACTGGAAAAGTAAGTAACCTCCAGGGCCCTATAGCTTTAGGAAAGGGAGATGACAAAGAATATCTGAAAAAATATAATTCTTTATTCATGCAGATGTCTCAGTGGAGCCAATAAGGAGAGCACCATGCTTGGGCTGGTTTACCAACATTACCCTATATTAAAACCAGTGTTATTATTGTTATTATTTATTGTGTAGGAAAAACCTCTCATTAAATTTTTCATTCAGCTCTTAGTTCACAGCAGGTTTAATGTCCAGTTAGATTATTCCTAGAACAGTTTTATAATCTGCTCTTCCCAGGAACACACAGGCAATTTTTATTTTTTATTTTTTGAAGCCTAACAGTATCTTTGAGTACTGCTGCTTAACACATGCTGGTATTTTTAGCATATTATGTTGTTAGAAGAAATTAAATGTATTTTACATCTATTACGACAATTTTATTTTGAAAAGCTATAGGAATCTAAAAAATCCCATAAAAAGATCTGTAACAAAAATATCAGCTTCTATTTTCATTTCTCTTAGAAGTATGTAGAATTAGAATAAGTTTTTCCAGTCTGGAAGATGTTCTACAAAAGAATTACTAATTGGCCTTCAGAATATGATCATTTGCAATGGAAAAATCAGTTTTATTCCTAGAAAATCAATGAGATAACTATCCATGTTCACTTCAGTTTTTAGTGCAATCTTAACAAAGACTATGAGTAAAGCTTTGAACTTCAGATAAAAAAAAAGAACTTGGACAGTGATGATGTGGATTTCAGTTTACAAACGCTTTACCTAGCAAAACAATCCTTGTAATATGCAGAGAGAAGTTTTCCTGTTTCGTACTGCACCAGATCTACCTTATTTCTGTAGACCTTTACCTGCAGTGGCTGACAGGCTGATCCCTATTTGCACAGCATTTTGTCAGGAATGGAATAAATCAGACTTGCTAGCTTGTCACATAGTCTACCATTTTCTGCCTGGCCTTCAACAGTGAGATTTACAGAACAAATGCAAATACTCTGGCTGTTAGTGATGCACACTGCACTGCTGATGAGGTGAGCAACACCACCTCCCATTTGCATTGTTACAGAGGGTTCCATGGTCAGCAGGAGAACTGTTATGTCACAGCCTGAACAGATGATTGAGCTCCCAGTGAAGGGGTGGCTGGCCCAGGAAGCACAGGTGCAAACAACTTGCCTGTGATTCCCACCTGACCAGAAAAGGACGGACTCTGGGTCCACCCTTCCTCCCCCTCCCCCCAGGCTCATTTAAGGGCTGGTCTCCATGGGGGAAAATGTCTTATGGATGTAGGCTGCTTCTTGAGGAGCGTTCCCCAGCCAGAGACCTTCATCAGCAACTGGGTGAGTCAGCTTTTTCCTATACTCAATGGTGGTTGGTACAGTCAATGATACTTCACCTGGTGTTACAAAGAACTCGTAAGGAGTTTTGCCGCTTCCAAGCACACATGTGTGTACTCTTGTAGGCTGCTTATCAGCCTCCATGATGAAATAAGCACACTGAATTTTCAGATTCACCTTTGCAGTGGGCAGATGGCCAGCTGCCAGTCACCCCACTTCTCTCCTCCCCAGTCCTCAACTAGATGGGGAGAAGATAACACAAAAAAGATTAAAACTCAATATAAAGACAGGGAGCTCATTCATCAGTTACTATTATGGGAAAATCAGACACTTTGTTCTCCAGCGAAGTGCCTGCTCCCTAGTGGTCTCTCTATGGGCAGCAGGGAATGCCTAGGTCTGGTTCTTTCCTTCTCTAGCTTGACTGTTCCCAAGAGTGTTCCTCACACTTCCTTCTCACTCCTTGCTGCCTTTCCTCAAGTACATTTCCCTGAGTGTGGCTGCATGGCCCTGTTGTGCCCTGAGGCCAGTTGAAACCAGCCTGAGCGGGCTGTTTGTAGCAGGGCAACCCTGGTGCCTCCATCCACTGCAAGCTGCCAAGGTAGTCAGACCTTGCACGCATTTCTCAGCTCCTGCTGCCTGGAGCTTTGCTGGAGGTTCAAAGGGTGAGTCAAGGCCTTCTGGAGTACCTGTCCGTGTATCCCTGGCCCTCAGTGGCTTCACGTCTGATACGCCTTAAACCAAACCCCTTAAAAAGAGGCTGAGAGCCTTGATAAATGAGTATAGTACACTCAGCCCCCGGTTCCTTGCCTGCTGAGCTGCCTGTGCACACGGCAGATATCACTTGTGACAGGGCTGCAAGTCCTGTCTCTGTGTGATAGGCCAAGGCACAGTGCCGTTTCAGAGCTGCTGCCAGAACAGCAGGACAGGCAGTGCAGCACCCAGCCTCCTGCAGGAAAGCTGGCAGTGGTGGAACAGGTTCACTTGGGGCCTGGGGAGGCAACAGGGCTGTGCTTTGGGAGGCTGTGGCTCTCTCCAGTTCCCTGACAGTCAGGTGGCTCATAGAGCAGGAGCATGAGCTGGCCTCATTAACAGCCACAGCTTCACCGCCAGAGCACGGCTGGCTCCCTCCCAGAGTCAAACTCAAGTACAAATCAACACAATATGTACAATGAGGGATTTGGGCTCAAATATGAGCTTGAAACTGAGCTAACATGACAGGGCAGATCGTGGTTCTGCTGGATCCCATTTCTAGATGGCCAGAGAGCCTTTGGCCTGTTTCATTAGATATAAATTGACTCAAATGCACTCTGAGCAAAACAGTCCAATTCTTGGCAAGCCCTGGTTTGTCTCAGCTGTTATTGAATCCTTGGCTCTCAGCTAGAATAATTATCATCTCAGGATGATATTTAACAAAAGGAAGGATATAGGTGCTATTACAGGAAACGTAATATATCGAGGGCCTTGACCTGCTGGAACTAAGGAACAAATTAGAACCAGATACTTTCCTGTGCTAATAAATACTGTAATTTAGTTTTTCTAGTTGAGAATTTCTGAAAGGAAACTAAATTTATTTTAATGTATGTACGTACAAAAATAATCACTGGTACATATTGCAGTGCTAGCCTATTATTTGTAAAAAACTTTTTAAAAAAACTCATTGAGGTTTTATAGTGACATGAATAATATGATTATAAAGTTCTCTGTAAAAACTAAGTACTTCTGAAAGAACAGAAGGGAGAATGTAAGCATGTATTAATATTGATGTTTTCCTCAAATCTATTTTTGTTAGCAAGTCATAAGAAATGAATTGCTGTGAAACGTTGGAGGTTACAAACACTAGTGAACAAGTAGGTTATTAATTGTATTTATTGGGGTGGAGAGATATTATAGGCAATAAAGAACAAAGGTTTTCATCCATAAAGAATGCATTGAGCTGCCTCCAAAGTGATTTAGTTAATTGATCTAAAAGAAGGTTGATTCATGATTAGCAAAAGGACAAATAAATCTCAATTTGAAGCTCTCGGAACACATTTGGTCAATAAGCTACATCAAGAAACACAACTAAAACAACTGTTAAAGTCAGAAACTATCCTGCTTGATGGAAATACAGCAGTACTAAAATGTACTAGAATTCAGAACTGATTTTTTTTTTTACATGAATCTTTGATTCTGTCTATACAAAATATTTACCTGTTGCGTTTGCATAGTGAAAACAAACTTTGTTTTTACTTTATCATGCAAAAATGAGGTTAGTATATTGCCCAATAAGTACAGAAAGGGACACCTGATTCTGTCCAAGGCAACAAGAGAATCAGGCTGACTGGTCATCTTCTCCATCCTTGATAAGACCAAAGTCTTAGTTTGGCATGCAGGTCCTCTGTAGATTTTCCAGTTGCAACAATTGTTGTAGCATGTAACCCTACTAAGATAGAAATGATCTAATAAGTGGTTTTCTGGAGCAGCTTAACTAGTTTCTGTTCCTGTCCCGTCAGTTATTCTCTATCATTGCTATCATGAAGGTTCCTGCTGTCATACCTTCTTTACTCTGCTCTTTTCTTTGGTGGCTATTTGGAAAATCAGGGAAATAAAATACACTAAGTGGAATCTGATTCACAGCTGCTGTTGAAACACAATTACTCAGGGAAGAAAGGAACCAATAATGGAACGGCCCCAAAGGGAAACCTGTAGGGTACTTCTTAGTGGGACTTCAGGAAGAACCATAGGCAAGAGACAGTGAAAAAGCAGCAGACAGAGATGTGTTCTTAAACGCATTGTCTTTAATGAGGATCTGTGCAGCTAGAGAATAGCACATCTTTAATTTCCCCTGAGTCTAACCATCCTTTTCTTCTGCTACTGCTGTTTCTATTTGTCTAATTTTGCATTTGCTGAGTGATGAGTTTGTGACATCAAGAACATGATTTCCTTTTGAATTCTTAAAAAATACATTTTTAAGTTTCTAGCTGAACTTTGAACTATTTAAATTATACACATCCATTGCCATTCTCTATTTTGGTATGGAGAAATCTTTAATCTAAACCTCGTACAAATACTTTGAGGAAGAGAAAAAAAGACAGAAGAAAAGCTAAATACATTTATATTTATACATGGAAATGGTTGTTTACATTCTGAGGGCCTTGTTACTGGAAAACAGGAATGAAGATAAAATCTCCTAGGGCTGGCTTGTCCTGTGTGCGACGGTAGAGAAATTGCCCTATTTTCAAAATTACAAAATGTAGTGAATTTACTACTCATATGGTTTCTGTAAAGTTTTTCAGTGAAATATTATAAAATGCATTGAGTCTTCTATGTAATGAAGGTATAATTCTTATAATACAAGCATTCTTATAGTCTCTTAAAATACAGGGACATTTACATGGCGTCTTTTATTATAAAGGTATTGTAGAACTATTACTTGTTTTGAAATGTGGATGAGTTTTTGACTTTTTTTTTTTTGGAGAAATATTCTACTTCAAAACACCTGTTACCTATCATATCAAATGATTTTGCACATTATCTCTGTTTTTATAAGTCCCATCTCTTAAAACCATGTCCATCTGCATACAAGTTCAATATCCAGAAAATCCTTTAGCATTTAGTGCTGAAATGAAGGTTTTCTAACAACAGAACTTAGGAAATATCAGGACCTCATACACATTGTCACATAATGATGTCAATCATTTAATACACAGTGTATTTTTAACCTTGTTCTGATTAGATATATATCATTTTTTCTAAATCCTGAGACCATAGTGTAAATTTTAGATAAGAAGAATGAAAGTTTAGGAGTCTGAGGCTGCAGTAAAGGCTTGCAATTATACTGTCTCATATTTGAGTGTGTAGAAGAGCAGTGACAAAGTAAGGGTGGGTATTCACTCATGTCTTTCCTATTTAGTTGTATTGCAGTGCTATTAATAGATCTAGAGTGTCAAACGAAGTTGTGCTTCTTTAGTATCACCTGTTCTTGTGAAGACATAAAAGGGTTTTCTGAATGACAGTAGATCGAATTTCTGTTGTTCAGTAAAAATGGTAATGTTTTCAGTAAAAAAGTGGTAATGTTTTATTTAAATATCATTAAATGGTAAGTTAATGTTCAGTTTTACAATTTCAAATGCATAGCCTTTTCAAGATCAACAGCTAATTACCAAATCATTGTTTTCTCACCAACCTGAAATCTGTGCATACAATTATGATATGCACTTTCCAGTAGCAAGGCTGTGAATTCCCTTACAAGATACTTTGTAATACAGACAATGTTGACACGAGAGTGAAAAACACTATTAAACTTCTAATTGTCTTGGCTAGTCAATAGCTGTTATCATGTAAGGATGGGTGTGCGTTGGAGTAAAGTGCTAAAACATCTGAGAGATGCTGAATTGTACTTCGTTCTCTAAATGAAACTACCTGCATGAACTCATCACTGGGATTTAATGTTTTGTTACTCTCTTGCATCTTTTGAACTGCTGTTTGTTAGTTAAGCTAGTTAATTTCTTGAATTCCTTACGTCTTAATTTCTGCAAACCGGTTGAAGAGAATAAGGCATTCTTGATATTTACATTCTTAATTTATTTCTTATCCAAGCAGAAACATAGCATATGTTTACTATATATATTATATGAGTAGGTTTAGGGTGTATGTATTACATAGACTTAGTTTAATTACATTACTTAAAATGTGTGTCCTTTACATAAATTCAAAAGCTTCACCAGGATTCATTGGACTAACTTTTGATCTCATTCACTGTATTTTCTCCTAAAGAGACACAGTGCCACCTACAGACTCAGTTCTTACCAGACTGATCTTTTTAAAAGCTATTTAATTCTAGAAAGTTACAGAAAGATTCCAGTTTTGAAACTGTTCTGAAAACACTCTGAAGAGTAAATAACACTCATAGATAGTAAATAAAATAGCCCTTGTGATAAATGATACTACTTGCTGATGGTGTCTTTTCCGAATAAAAAGATGCCTAGTTCATTAAACCTGATGATTGTGGAAAATGAATCAAT